GAATGGAGAAAGGATTGTGGCGTGGCCATCCCCCCGGGGGGTGATTTTTTGCTTCCTGTCTCTCTGTCTCTGTCTTCCTGTGGAGCACACGCACCCTATAGCAAAAACCTCTCCAAAAAAAAAAGAAAAGAGAAGAAAAGAAAAAATCACTCTGGGCACATGTGCATATGTGCCCCAAATCTCAGAAGGACAATGGAGGAAGGACTGTAGCATGGCCATCACCCCCCAAAGGGAGAGGATTTCTCACTTTCTCTCTCTGTTCTCTTCAGTGAGGACACACACCCTATGGTAAAAACCTTTAAAAAAAAAAAGAAAGAAAAAAATATATATGCTTGCACACACACACATATGAAAATATGCTTGCACACACACATATGAAAAATAAGACAAAATATGGAAATTTAGAAGATTCCACATCTGACTATATTCAGAAAAAAATGAACAGAACCTATAAGAATATCAAATCGATGAAAAAAATTTAAAGAATTATTTCACTTTATTTATTTATTTAAATTTGATGAGAGAGAGAGAGAAGGAACGTGAGAAAGCAAGCCACCAGGTCAGGGACTCAAACCCTGGTCGGCCATGTGGGAGTCCAGTGCCCCTAATCACCACATCACCTGCCAGTCCCCCCAATCCCCCCAAATAGATAAAAAATTTTCTAAATTTAGGGAAGGGGTAATGTTCAACTTGGATTAGCTCACTGAATGTTAGGCTGAACTGGGAAAACCATTAACAGGAAAAAAATCCATATATATACTTATGAATCTTCAGAATACTAACGATGAGAACATTCTAACAGCTTTCCAAAATGTCCTCTGACTCTGTGTATCTCTGGCAAGTACACATGCCTTCTTATGAATTAAAAAAAAAAAAAAAAAAAAAAAGTTGCTGTGGTTAGTCTAAATTCAATGCAGGCTTCAATATTATAGTGATATTTTATTTTTAGGGAAAGGGACAGATTTCCCTAGGATTTATCTGTGTCTGGGTTTTCTTCAGGTTTAGGTGTTCCCTTTGGAATATGCCTCCATGATAGTTGTTATATTAAGATGCATCCAGGGCCAGTAGATGGTGTAATGGTTACATCACTGGATTTCCATGTAGTCAACTATGGTTCAAGTCCCGGACCTGGCGGTTTCAACCTCACATCAAATATGTGTGTGCAAGACTCATCCAAATATTTATTGAGTGCTTACCAATTAACTATGTGCCAATCACTGGCCTAAATTCTGAAACTTTTAACTCAACAAATTTTATTAATTTGCCATTATTTTATGTATCAGTATTTTTATTTTTGCATTCAGTAACCTTCCAACTTTTGTGTGCCTTGTAAAGTACTGCTTTTCCCTTAATATCTTTTTTTTTTGGAGAGGTTTTTGCTTTTTTTTTTTGGAGAGGGTGCACGCGCTCATCAGGAAGACAGAGACAGAGAGACAGAAAGTGAGAAATCACCCCCCCCGGGGGGGTTATGGACACCCTGCAATCCCTTCTCCATTCTCCTCTCAGGATCTTGGGCTTGCACGCACACGCGCCCAGCATGAGTTTAAGCCACTGGGTCCGGGACTTGAACTGCAGTTGGCTATATGGGAGTCCAGCAACATAGCCATTGCACCAACTGCTGGTCCAATGTTTTTCCCTTAATATTATCACTATCTCCTAAAGCAATTCTTGTCTTCATACTCTCCATTACCATGGAGTTCATCATCCTCTTCTTTGCTCTACCTGTGCACCCAATATATATTTATTTAAATATCTTGAATCCCCTGGTAAACCGTAAGTGCCTATCGACAAGAACAGTGTCTTATTAGTTTCTATATGCCCGAGGTAGAGCAGTTATTAGTCTACAGTAATTACATATACCACAAACGTGCAAATGAAATGTTCACTAAAGGAGAGCTAGAAATCCACAGGCAAGGGACCAGCAGTTGGCGTAATGGCTATGTTGCTGTACTCTCATGTAGTCGACCACAGTTCAAGTCCCTGATCTGGTGGCTTAAATTCACACCGGGTGTGTGTGTGTGTGTGCGCGCGCGCTCAATATCCCTAGAAGAGAATGGAGGAGAAAGGACTGTGGCCTGGCCATCCCCAGTGGGGGGTGATTTTTCACTTTCTGTCTGTTTTTCTGGTGAGCACATGCACAAAAACCTCTCCAAAAAAAAAAAAGAAAGAAAGAAAGAAAAAAGAAATCCACAGGCAAACCTTAGAAACAAAATACTGTCAGAATGGGCACCCTAGTAATAAATAATTTTTCTCATCAATTAATTTTCAGGATTTTAAAAAGACAACAAATCTGATTTTCTTCTTAGTTTGCATGGTTCTTTTTAGGTTTTTGCCATAGGGCTCATGCACTCAATAGAGAAAAAGAAAGAAGAAAAGTGAAAAAGCATCCCCTAGAAAGACAGCCATGCTGCAATCCCTTCTCCTCCATTCTCAGGATTTGGGGCATGCATGCACATGTGTCTGATGTGATTTTCAAGCCACCAGGTCCAGGACTTGAACCACAGCCAGCTATATAGAAGTCCAGCACCTTAACCACCATGCCACTTGCTGGCACCATTTGGATGTATTTTAACTCATGTTAGGAGGGGTCAGCAGGTAGCATGGTGATTAAGGGCGTTAGACTCCACACAGCTGACTACAGTTCAAGTCCTGGACCTGGCAGCTTGCTTTCTCTCTTTCTCTCTCTCGCTCTCACTCTGTCACTCTCTGGTCAAATTAAAATATATAAATAAAGATAAATAAAATAATTTTTAAAAACTCATGTCAGGGACCAGTGGGTGGCATAATGGTTATGTCGCTGGACTCCCACATAAGTCAACCGTGGTTTGAGTCCTGGACCTGGTGGCTTTAAACTCACACTGGGCATGTGTGCATGTGTGCTTAAGATCCCGAGAAGAATGGAGGAGAAGGGATTAAAGCATGGTCATTCCCCCTGGAGGGTGACTTCTCACTTTCTCTTTCCAGTGAAGCGCACACGCCCTATAGCAAAAGTATCTCTCAAAAAACAAAACAAAACAAAAACCCTCATGTCACACATAAAGATTAAAATAGATAATAACTATGTTAGTCCTTTGAGTTCCTACCAATCAGAAGCACATATGGGCCTGGAGGTGCATTACTTTGCAAAGCGTTTCCAAAATACCTCTAGGAGAACAGACCAAAAAGAAATGAAGTGAAGATTTATGACTAGGTCAGAAATAAACTGAGAATAATTCTCATAAGCAATTCCAACTTGGGTTTTACTTTACAATGTGTTGCTATTCCAATTAATGCATTTTTTTCATTGCCAGAGGGCATTTATGCTCACCAGAGAGAAAGTATCCCCCAGTGAGGTGTGGTCATCCCACAATCCCTTCTCATTTCTCCATCCTGTCAGGATTGTGGGCCAGCATGCACATGTGCCCAACTTGATCTTTTTCTTTTCTTTTCTTTTTAGAGAGATTTTTGCTATAGGGTGCATTCACTTGCTGGAAAGACAGAGAGAGAAAGTGAGAAGTCAGACCCCCAGGGAGATGGCCACACAACAGTCCCTTCTCCATTGACCTCTTGGGAATTTGGTTGCACACACACGTGTCCACATGAGTGTCACACCATCAGGTCCAGGACTTGAACTGCGGTCAGCCATGTGGGACTCTAGAACCTTATACCAACCACCTGCTAGTCCTGCAATGTGATTTTCAAACTGCTAGGGCTGGGACCATAACTGTGGTCAGCCATGTGGGATCCAGCTTCTATAACTGCTAGGCTATAGGGCTGGTTCTAATGAATACATTCTTGAAATTCCCAAGAGACAATAGGCAATGTGTTCATACAGATGCAAGTGAATGACTGTGAGCAAGGCATTCTCTTGCTCCTCTCTACTCTTCAGATGTGTTACTGACCTGGAACTAACCTCTGTGGCTAACGCAAAGGAGTTAACAAGGTAGAGGGGTGTGTGTAGGAGGGGAAGGCGGAAAGACCCATTAACCTTTTCCATGCCATCTACTCACCCATTTGTTCCAAGTGATGACAGTTTTTTTAATGCTTGCTTTACAGATCTGAAAGAACAAGTTTAAATGGAAGAAGTTAGTACTATTATCGTGCATGCACGCTCACTGTTTTGGCTGTTGTTTTCTCAAATGTAGTCAGAGAACAACTAACTTATATGGCCACCCATTCCACAAAGCAGACTTAACAAGATTCAAGTGTTCTGAAAAATACCATTTGCAAAAGGAAAACTGAACAGAAAAGACCACTGTATATAATCTAATTACAAAACAAAGCAAAAATACTCTTTTTGATTTTATTTTTTTACATATTTTTTATGCACTGGAAAGAGAGACTGCAACTATTATATGTGGCAAACAAATGACAGGAGAAAAGGCTCAGTATATAAATCGAGGGTTTTCCTCATGGATTGGTCAGCTTGGGGATGCTATGACAAAACACCAGACTGAATTTTTTTTAAAAGAATTATTTATTTAATTTTATTTATTCATTTGAGTATTTTAATTTGACCAGAGAGAGAGAGAGGGAAAGTGAGAAAGCAAGCCACCAGGTCCAGGACTCGAACCATGGTTGACCATGTGGGAGTGTCCAGTGCCTTAACCACCATGCCACCTGCTGGTCCCCCAGACTGAATGATCTAAACAACAGAAGAAATTTATTTCTCACAATACAGAGGCTGAAGTCCAAGATCGGGATGCCAGCATGATCAGGTTCTAGTGAGGGTCTCCTCCTGGTTTGCATGCTGTCTTCTTGCAATGCCCTCACATGGTGCAAGAGTGAGCTCTTTGGCATCTCTTCTTACAAAGGCACTAATTCCATCATAAAGGTCCTGCCCCCATGACCTCATCTAAACTCAATTACCTTTCAAAGGCCCCATTTCCAAATACCACCACAGTAGGGATTAGAGCTTCAACATACAAATTTTGCGGGGTACACATTCAGTCCATTACAACCCATATTCCACCAATCACTCATTACACACCAGCATTACTACACAAAAATAACAATGTTTATTCATATAAATATAGACAATTTATTTTCAAGTAAAACAATAACAAATACTTTCTCCCTGCTCTGAAGTTCCTGCTGTATTACGCCCTGGTTCTTTTCCCATTAGTTTGTTTCAGCCATGTTAGTTTGACACCAGGAAGATCACATATCCTCATAGCTATGAAGACAGTACAGTAATGATGACAGTGATCTTTATCCACCTAGAGACTCACTCTTCTTTATTCTCACCTATAAGATTCTTTCCATTGAAAGTGGTACCCTGTTTTACCAGTAAGTTCTTCATGTATGACAATTCTAGTTCTAAGGAATAGACTCAGTCTCTGCTCATGTGACCTTATATCACACTCAAAGACTCATCCACAAAAATAGACTTCACAATTCCATTTTGTTGTATGGGACCGAAGATACAGCTTTAAAACTACACTGGAAGTAAAATATTGGCAATTCTTATAGATGAAAAATGGTCTTAGTTCACAACAACTGATCTAATCTTCTGAGCTTGCCTCATTTGATTTCAAATCTTTAGGTCAAAAGTCACTAATGACTTTTGCTCTTTGGCTTTCAAGGTGGTACATATCAAATGGTCCCATATATACAAGATTTATGCTATAGACAAATACACTTTCCCTTGCCTCTGACTCTACTTCTGTGATAGCCTCATTCCTTGCTTTACAGATTTAAAAGAACTTTAGGCTTTTGCTTCAGAATGTGTGTTCTGATGTCGAATCAAGGATGAGCTCCGACTATATGCCTTTCCACATTTACTACATTCATAGGGTTTCTCGGAAGAGTGACTTCTTTGATGTCGAATAAGGTCTGAGCCGCTGCTAAAGGCCTTCCCACATTCGTTACATTCATAGGGCTTCTCTCCAGTGTGACTTCTTTCATGTAAAATAAGGGAAGTGCGCTGACTAAAGGCCTTCCCACATGTTTTGCATGTATATGGCTTCTCTCCAGTGTGAATTCTTTCATGCTGGGCAAGGTGTGCACTCTGGCTGAAGGCCTTCCCACACTGATCACATTCATAGGGCCTATCTTCAGTATGAATTCGCTTATGTCGAGTAAGAGATATTCGGTGACTAAAGGCTTTCCCACATTCTTCACACTGATAGGGCTTTTCTCCAGTATGAATTCTCTGATGTTCAATAAGAAATGACTGGCGTCCGAAAACTTTACTACATTTGTTGCATTTGTAAGGTTTTTCTTCAGAATGAATGTTCTGATGTATTTTAAGATTTGCAGTCCCAGAAAACATCTTCCCACATTCCTTACATTCGAAGAGCTTCTTTTTCCTTGTATGAATCTTCTGATGTTGAATAAGAGATGAATGCCGGTTGCAGACCTTCTCACATTTATTGCATCTGTATAGTTTTTCTCCATTATGAGTTCTTAGATGCAGGAGGAGAGTGGAAAGCCGCCTGAAGACCTTTGTACACTTACCACACTTATAGGGGTTCCCTGAGGTGTGAATTCTCTGATGAAGCAAAAGGGGTGAAATCCTATTGAAGGATTTTCCACATTTTCTACATTTATATGGATTCTCTAAATGGTGACTTCTCTGTTGGAGACTCTGACCGAAGGCCTTGTTATGTTCAGGGGTTTTCTCTCCAATATGAATTCTTTTATGTACAAGAAGGACTGATTTCTTTTTGAAGCCTCTCCCACATTTAGTGCATTTATGTATTTTCTTTCCATTGTGATTTCTATTATGAAGTAAAAGAGCTGACATCCGACTGAAGGCTTTCCCACATTTTCTGCACTGGTGTACATGCTCAGCAATGCAAATTTTCTTATGTACACTGAGAGGCGAGGATTGACTCAAGGCCTTCCCAAAGCCGAAGGTTTCCTTTCTGTCATGAATTCTCCTATGGAGAAGAAGAGTTACTTTCTGAGTGAAGCTTTCTCCACATTTATCACATCCATGGCTTTTCTTTCCACTATGAATTTTCTGGTGAAGAATGAGTGATGAGATCTGCCTGAAAACTTTTCTACATTTACTGCATTCATAAGGCCTCTCTCCAGCATGAGAGTTCCAATGATGTTTAAGAAGGAAGCTCTGACCAAAAGTTTTCCCACAGTCACTACATTTGAAAGATTTCTTCTCTGAATGCCCTTTCTTGGGTTTTATGTGGACTGAATTTTTGTTGAGGCTTCTCTTTCCTGTGAGAACTTTTTGTTGTGCAGAAACTGGTTTTTGATAGATGCTTTCCCCAGATCTGCTGCAATGATTTCGAGGTAACTTCTTGGTCTCATATTTAGACCCTGAGTCTGAAAGACATCAAGATATTGAATGTTTGTGTGTGTATGCACTGGTAATCTAAAGCTTGAAACTTATAAATACAGTCATTATCATTATCATAACAATGACCACCAGAGGATGACTTTTCAGTGTTTTACTATGGGTTTACTTATTATACTAAGGGGTTTACAGAAACATTTGAGAACCAGAGTTTGAAAGTTTGTAATGTAAAAGTGAATAAGCCAAGGTTCTATTTACAGGATAAATTTTATACCATATGCCACATTAAACTCCTTAAGCTATCCATTAGATGAATATATTTTTATTGTATGAAATATTCAGAAAAGGCAAATCTATAAAACAGAAGGTTGGGAACTAGCAGTTAGTGTAATGGCTATGTTGCTGGACTCCCACATAGTCGACCACGGTTCGCATCCTGGACCCAGTGGCTTAAAACTCACGCTGGGCGCGTGTGCGTGCGTGCCCAAGATCCCGAGAGGAGAATGGAGGAGAAGGGATTGCGGTGTGACCATCCCCCCTGGGGGGTGATTTCTCGCTTTCTATCTCTATGTCTCTCTCTGTCTGTCTGGCGAGCGCACGCGCCCTATAGCGAAAACCTCTCCAAATAAAATAAAATAAAACAGAAGGTTAGTGGTTATTTCAGGTTGAAGATTAGAATGAAGGTTACTTAGATGGGCATATACCCTATAGCAAAAACCTCTCAAAAAAAATTAAATAAAAAGAATCTTTCTAGGTTGGTGAAAATGTTCTAGAACTAGATTATGGTGATGGCTACATAACTTGGTATTAATACATCACCTAATTATACTCATAGAGGGAGTAAATTTTATGATATGTAAATTATACCTCAACAAAATAATTTTTTAAAAGAATTATCTTATTTAACTTTATTTATTATTTCTATTATTACTTTCCAGTTTGATGAGAGAGAGAGAGAAAGTGAAAAAGCAAGCCACCAGGTCCAGGACTTGAACTGTGATTAGCCATGTGGAAGTCTAGCACCTTTAACTGCCATGTCACCTGCCAGCCCCAATAAAATAAATGCTAAAAATGTATTCTTAATATCAAATCTTAACAAGAAATAAACTGAGTAGCAATTAGAATTTAGTATTTAGACAGAGGGGTGAAAACTTTTTTAATTGCATTTTTTCTTTAACTGTCAGAGGATGCATATGCTTGCCAGAGACAGAGACAAAGAGATAGGGAGAAAGAAAAATCAGGAAAGCATGGTCATATCACAATCCCTTCTCGACTTCCCCCTCCTCTAGATTTTTCACACATGTACACGTGCCTGGTATGTTTCTCAAGCTGCAGGGTCCAGGACTCAAACAGTGAGGTTGGTTGGCCATGTGGAGTCTGACTGCCTTGATCACAAGGTCACAGGCTGGCCCTGAACACTTTTTATTTATTTATTTTTATTTTATTTATTTATCTTGCTGGAGGGTGGCAAAGAAATACAGAACAAAGGGAGAAAGCATCCCTCAATGGAGGGTGGTCATGCCACAATCCCTTTTCCATTTCTCCATCCTGTTGGGGTTTGGGATATACATGCCCATACGCCCAGCATGGTTTTCAAGGCACCAGGATTGGGATTCAAACCACACAGTTGGCCAAATGGGATACAGATCCCTTAACCACTAGGCCATGGGGATGGCCTGAAGAGTGAAAATTCAGTTAAATAGTAAAAAACATTTAGCCTAACAGAGTAGGCTAAAAAAAGAATTAATCTATTATGGGAATCAGCAGTTAGCGTAATGGCTATGTCGCTGGACTCCCACATAGTCAACCGCGGTTCGCATCCCGGACCCAGTGGCTTAAAACTCACGCTGGGCGTGTGGGCGTGCATACCCAAGATCCCAAGAGGAGAATGGAGGAAAAGGGATTGCAGCGTGACCATCCCCCCTGGGGGGTGATTACTTGCTTTCTGTCTCTATGTCTCTCTCTGTCTGGTGAGCGCACGCGCCCTATAGTGAAAACCTCTCAAAAAAAAAAAAAAAAAGAATTAATCTATTATGTAATAACATAGGCAACCTGGGTTAGGCATGAAGTCCGAGATGATTTAAACTAACCACCTGCATGGCAGACTGATAATAAATTTGTGTGCGTGAGGCATGATGAACAGGACCACACTGTCCAATGGCAGGGCAGCCACAGCTGGTCATGTACTGCTACTGAGCACTTGCAGTGCAGCTGCTCTTGACTGAGATGTGAATACACAAAACACACACCACACTGTGCAGATTTAGTCCAAAAAGAGGTAGGTAGAATGTCTCACTGGAAAAATACTGATTATATGTTACAATATTTTGGACACACTGAGTTAAATGAAATATGCTATTAAAATGAATTTGACTTGTTTTGAAATTTTATCTTAATGTAGATACTAGAAAAACTGAGTTACAATGTGGCTCATTTTACCTTTCTACTGGACAGGCATGCCTTTTCTTTCTTGATGAGGGAGAGAGTAGGAAATAGAAATAGGTATTTTGATAGGGTCTTACCGTATCATAATTCTCCTGTCCCAGCCTCCCAAATTAGACAGCTATGCTTTAAAGGCAGACTTGAAAGTCACTGAAGTGTTGGTCATTTAAATGCATCACCACAATAAACTCTCTTGACCTGTACTGCCGTCACTATTGTGCTATTTTTTCATTTTAAAATTTTTTAGGGTTTTTGCCATAGGGCATGTGTACTTGCTAGAGACAGGGAAAAACAGAGAGAGGGAAAATGAGAAATCACCCCCAAGAGAGGACGGCCACACTGCAATCTCTTCTCCATTCTCCTCTTGGGAACTGTGAGCATATGTGCACATGTACCCAGCATGATTTTCAAACTGCGAGGTCCAGAACTTGAACCAAGTCAGTCATGTGAGAATGCAATACATCAACCACCAGTAGGATGCTCTTTAAGATGTAAATACAATTACCTTCCTCACAGGGATTTTTCAGAACTGGAAAGAATATGTACAAAATTTCTGGCTCATACTATATTCTATCTGCCAGTGTTCCAAAAAGTGAGAAATAATGCTTTCCTTTCTTTCTCAGTTTCTTTTCTTTTCTGATAGTTGGACACTTAGAGCGAACTCCCTGAAGTGTGTTAGGCTATTCGCAGTCTTCATTTATCAAAATATTAATGTGTTTGATTGGAGTTTGCTCCAGGTCCTGCAGCTGTGTTATGCAACATATAGAACAAGAATATGACCTGTTTATCTTTTCAAAATCTGAACAATTATGATTCTTATCTCATTCCAAGAATTCTGGAGAAAGTTTTGTGAACCTGAAGGTTTGATACTGGGGAGTGGCTACCATTATAATTATTATTATTAGAAGTACAACATAATAATTAAAATAGGGAATTAAAGATGGGAAATAACTCAAAAATGTTTCATTGTATCCAGATAAGAAACTTAGGGTTTATCCTTCCTGTTCCATATCCCATAAGTCACATCTGTTCTGCCTCTTCTCCCACCCATATTTTCTTCAAATGCCTGTCTTCCTATCCTTTTTCTTTGTACCTCACTGTGTTGGGGACCTCACTATCTCCCTGTCTTCAATCTGGAAGTCCCTTAAAACACAACATATACCAAAATTAACCCCAGGTAAATTAGTTCAATATTAAAAAATAAAATGACTAAAAACAAACTAAAATAAGACAACACGAAATAAATCCAAAGTTCCAGAAGGTAGATAAATTTCTAACTAACAGAAATAACAGAAATATATAGAAATATAGTGATTTCTAACTATAGAAATAACAATGAATTGGTCTCATTTAACTACATAAATTCAATTACATGAATGAGAACACCTACCACACAAAAATGAAAATCTTTTTACATATTCAAATAGAAAAACAAGAGGTACACAAAATAAAAAGTCAAAGGATAGAGTGGGGAAATATCTGAAGTAAAATGTGATATCAAAAATAAAGGTAATTGGGTCAGCAGGTGACATGGTGATTAAGGCACTGGACATCCCCACATGGCTGACCACGGTTTGAGTCTTGGACCTGGTGACTTGCTTTCTCACTTTCCTTCTCTCTGTGTGCCTGTCGTTCTCTGGTCAAATGAAAATGACTGAATGAATAAATAAAATAAATAATAATTTTTTAAAATTAAAATAATAAAAAAATTTGTTATCAAATGTGTAATGACTTTTCTGTATTAAAGCTCACGATGGACACTGAAAAGAAACATAAAGTCACTAGTAGAAGAGGAAAGATTGCAAGGAAACAAAGTATAGGAGAATAAATAAAAACAGAAAACAGCAGATGGCGTAATGGTTACATCGCTGGACTCCTATGTAGTTGACCACAGTTCAAGTCCCAGACCTAGGAGTTTAAACCTAATGCTGGGTGTGTGAGCGTGTGTGTCCAAAATCCCGAGAGGAGACTAGAGGAGAAGGGACTGTAGCGTGGTCATCCTCCCAAGGAATGACTTCTGGCTCTCTATCTGTCTTCCAGCAAGTGCATGTACCCTAGAGCAAAAATCTCTCTAAAAAAACAAACAAACAAAAACACACAAAAACCAGAAAACAAACAAACGTTAGCACATACATAAGAAAGACAGTGTTGTCTCGCTAGTATGGATATACTGTGTGTGCATTCAGGTTCAACAGGCTCCAAACCAGGCTTCAATGCCTCTTGGATAAGAGATCCTGGGCAAGTTACTTCAACTTTTGAAGACTCAAGTCTTACCTGTTGCAGGGAATGACAGAGGTTCTTATAAGTAGTGAGGATTAAGTGAGATCATGAATGTATGGGCCTTGGCACAGAACGCACACACAGCAAGTTCTCAATAAATGTTGACTGCTATTCATTTACTTCACTAAATTAAAAGTTTCAATGACAATACCCAGTAACAGTATAAAAATCAAACTGACACTAAACCTCATTGCTGTTGATGGCACTGTTATGACTATTCTTCTCTTCTTCCAGTTACACTCATGGCTACGATTTAATACAGTGAAAAGATACAAGGCAAAACCAGCAAAAGGAACAGGTCACTGGAGTAAAGTCCAGGGGAAACCAGGCTCAAGCTCCTATCTCCCCATGAAGTCTCATGAGCTGTGTCTCATTCCTTCAGCAAAAACTGCAACAACATATATCAAATATTGTCTATGAGAAAAGTTCATTAAAGACACAGTGTTCAGCGTTTTTACGGGGGGCTGGTGATTTGACAGTTCCTTTGGAAAGCAATTCTGGACTAAATGGAGTCTGAAAAGTGGTCCTACCCTTTGGCCCAACAATCCCCCTGTGACTTGATACTACAGAAAAAAGGTAAAACTGCTTATACACATATGTTGATATTAATAATATGAAATTAGAACCTAAATGGAAAGGGGACACAGGAGCCAATATGAAACATTTCTACTAAAACAAAACATGGAAAAAACAGATACATATTAACTTTATGATAACTATTATGAAAATGAATTTGAGAAGTTATAGTTACCAGTTGGCTCTCTGACTCACCAGGGCCCCGGCGTCTTCTTGACGGCTCCATTGTCCAGGGTGCTTTCCCTTTCTCCAATAAAGCGATCACATTGGGCCTCCGAAAGGAAAGACCTGCCATTAGGACAGACGTGAGAGCTGACCATGATGTAGGAACCACAGAGATCAGAGGTAAGTCCTGTGTCAATCTGTAATTAGGGTGTCTTAGCACACAGGGTGTGAAGGGCAGCTGGAGAATGGGGAATGTGATGTGATTCATAATTCGAACACGTCTGCTTTTCATCCCTGTCCCCCAACACACAACTACTTGCAGCCCTTACGATCTCTAAAATGATGTTTTTGCTGATGAGATAACTAATGGTCAGGACTTGTGGATAGCCTGAGGATGGGCCCAGCTTGGGATAAGAGGGGTGAAACTTTCAGCCCAGTCCCCACCTCTAGGGACGGTAGAAGGGCTGGAGAGTGAATTGATCTCCACTGGCCAATGATACAATCAATCGTGTCTATATAATAAAGCCTCCATAAGCCCGAAAGGGACAGGGTTTGAAGAGCTTGTAGGCTGCTGAACACACGAAGGGGGCAAACCCTGTGAGTGCAATGGCAGCTCTACTCCCCTTCCCCTAGACCCTGCCCTATGCATGTCTTCCATCTGGCTGTTCATCTTTATCCTTTGTAATATTCTTCCTTTTTCTCTTTTCTTCACAATAGAGTGCACATGCACACATAAGAGGGAGCAAGAGAGAGAAAGCACCCTCCAATGGGGCCTAGTCATGCTATAATCCTTCCTTCAACTCACTATCCTATTAAGATCCAGGGCACACATGTGCCCAGCATGTTGCTACTGGGGCCAGGATTCAGACCCAAGCTGGCCACGTGGGATCCAGCTTCCTCTGCGCAGCACTTTACTGCTGTACTGTGGGGCCAGCCCCTTTATAATTTCCTGATACTAAACCAATAAACATAAGTAAAGTGCCTACTCTAGAAAATTATCACCCCATAGGGGAGAGAAGTCACGAGAACCTCTAGTTTATAGTCAGTCAAGTTTCAGAGGCCAAACTCACAGGTGGCATCTGACATGGAGCAATCTTGCGGGACGGAGCCCTTATGCTGTGGGATGTGCTATCGCCAGGTAGACAGTGTCAGCAGTAAACTGAAGAACAGAATACCCAGCTAGTGCCCACTGAAGACTGCCTGGGGTAGAGGGAAACCCCACACATCTGGTGTTGGAGTGCTCTGTGGGGAGCACTTAGTGCTGGAGTAGGAAAAGCAATGCGGTTTTAAAAATCTGAACAAGGAGGATGAAAACTTGGTCACAACTCATGGTTCATTTCTAACTCTACATAGCCAACTATTTTCCGGAAAACTGGGTCAGCAATTCCTGAGCTGGTTACCAGGTGATCATCTCTCAGCTCTGCATCTTGACCTTTCTGTGGTCTCTTGTGATGCAGGGCTGAGGTTCTGCTGAGGCCCTGCAGTCCACACTTCTCCTTAGCTACTTCTCTTCAACACCTGCCAATGGGGATCCATGGGTTTCCAGTCTTTTTTTCCTGCTCTTGAAACTAGCCCCATCTTGCCCTCTTGGAAGTGTAAATGAACCAGGCAATACACCCCAGCTCCTTCCAAAGTCTGAGTCCTAGTTTGGTGAGGGCCTTTCTCTAAATCCAAAAAATTCCAAACTCTTCCTTTTGTCCCCGAGTACCAGGGATGGTGGCAGCATTCTGCTTTTACCATCTCTGTGCGACTTCAATGCCGACTATTTGCCTTTTAACAGCATCTGCTAAATTAATTCCTTATATTAAATTCTCTCAGAACAACTGGGTTGTCCTCTCAGGTTAGAGTTTCCACATGACTCAGCAACTTGGCGCCAAGGTAAATACCAAAGAGAAGTGAACGCATTAAGTCCACTTAAAAGCTTGTTATAAATTTTTATGACAGCCTATTCATAACAGCCAGAGAGTGGAAACCACCCAAATGTGCATTAGTTGATGAACAATCAAAACATGGGCCAGAAAAAGAAAAAAAAAAAAAAAGGGCTAGCTGCACAATGGCACAGCGTACTCACTATTCATCAATGAAGAGAAACAAAGTGCTGGGACCAGCAGTTAGCGTAATGGCTATGTCGCTGGACTCCCATGTAGTCGACCACGGTTCACATCCTGGACCCAGTGGCTTAAAACTCAAGCCGGGCGCGTGTGCGTGCATGCCCAAGATCCCAAGAGGAGAATGGAGAGATTGCAGCGTGGACAACCCTCCTGGGGGGTGATTTCTCGCTTTCTGTCTCTGTCTGGCGAGCACATGCGCCCTATAGCAAAAAAAACTCTCCAAAAAAAAAAAAAAGAGAGAAACAAAGTACTAGCACACACTACCACATGGATGACCCTGAAAGCATAAGTGGAAGATGACATGTATTTATGATTTCATTGTATGAAGGGCCCAGAACAGGCTAGAGACAAGCAGTTGCCTACTCTGGGGAGGGGGATGATTGGGTAGAGAAAACGCAGAGGATTCAGGGTTTCTTTGGAGATAGTAAAAATGTCTCAGGGCCATCAGGTGGTATATGATTAGGGCATGGACTCCCACATGGCTGACAGCAGTTCAAGTCCCAGACCTGGCGCCTTGAAAATCATGCTGGGCATCTGTGTGTATATGCCCAGAATCCCAGGAGAATGGAGAAGAGATTATGGTGTGGCCATTGCCCCTAGGGGATGATTTCTCACTTTCTCTCTCACTGTCATTCTCTCTTTCCAGTAAGCACATGTGCCCTATGGCAAAAATCTAAAAGAAGAAAAAAGAAAGAAAAGAAAATGTCTTAAAATTGACCATGGTGATGGATACACTGCTCTGTAACTGCAATAAAACCACTGAATTGTACAATTAATGTGAGTGCATTACACGGCGTAGAGATTAACTCAATAAAACTGCTTTTAAAAAAAGAAAAAAACAACCCTGGTGTGACTTCCACTTTCCTGAATAGACCCTAACTGACACCTGGCCCTGGAAAAGCCAGCTCTGGATTATGGGGAAGGAGAGCCTTACCCAGTGAGACCAGATTCCGGTAGTTCTCCAGCATGACCTCTTCATACAAATCCTTCTGAATGGGGCTTAGCCATTCCCACTCTTCCTGGGAGAAGTAGATGGCCAAGTCCCCAAACGTCACTGGTGCCTAAAATGGAAAATCACATGTCCATTCATCAAGGGCTCATGCTTCCACATGGCTGGAAATAATGGTGGGCGGATCCCCAACAAGGGAGACAGGCGGTCCTGGGACTCATTCAGGAAGCACTCAGGATTCTAAGGTCAGAAAGGCAGGTGTATTAAATAACTGAAATACAATGAGAGGGTACAGGGTGCTTCAAAAGTTTGTAGACAAATGGAATTAAAAGTATGGGCTTAAGGACCGGATGGTGACACAGTGGTAAAACACAACCCCCTCTGGGGAGGACCCACATAAGACAATTCTGGGTTCACAGCTGGGGTGTGCTGGGTAAGTGCCCATGATTCAAGGCTGGCTGAAGGGGTGAACAGCACCAAGGCCCTGCAGGGGTGCTGCCTCTCACTCATAGAATGAATAAACTTTAAAAAATAAATAAAGTATATTTTGGTGCAAAAAAATCCATGTATACTGTTTTTTGTTTTGTTTTGTTGAAATTTTAAGGTCAGTTTATTAAGTTCAATGACAAAAGCTATCAGAAGAATATTCTCCTAAAAATTATTTTTTCTTAGGAAAAAAAGGCAAATCAAAACCCTCTCCGCATAGCCACAGATGCTGTGGCAATCAAGCCTCTTAGCAGGTGGCGGCAGTCCATTAGTCTGTTGGGCCACTCTCTGGGTCAGCAGGATTGTAACCTGCATCATCTTCATCATCTCGTAGCGCCAAGTCATCCATTTCCTGGAGCAAAGACTCTTCTACTCCACATTGTTTCCAGCATCTGCCAAAAACTGCATACTAGAGGTATCAGGGTTATGATCTGGAGACCAGCAGTTAGCGTAATGGCTATGTCGCTGGACTCCCATGTAGTCGACTGCGGTTCAAGTCCTGGACCCAGTGCGTGTGCACGCGTGCCCAAGATCCTGAGAAGAGAATGTAGGAAAAGGGATTGTGGCATGGCCATCCCCTCTGGGGGGTGATTTCTCGCTTTCTGCCTCTCTGTCTCTGTCTTTTTAGCGTGCACGCCCTATTGCAAAAACCTCTTAAAAAAAAAAAAAAGACTATGATCTGTTTCAAACAGCTGCTTCCCACTTAATTTTTTTCCCTGCTTATTCTTATTCTTCCATCCATTTCTTCTTCATTTCCAAGAGTTCTGGATCAAATTTGGCCTTCCAACCTAAGAAATTTTCAGTCGTAACAGGAGTGCCATGGAATAATTGCTTTTTGGCTTCTTCTGCTTCCTTTTCTTTTTATTTTCTTCCCCTCTTCTAGTTTTTATCTAATCTACTATTTCATTTAATTTTTCTTAGACAGCTGTCACTAGAATAAAAATCATCACCAAACCAAGATTTTCTTCAGCCTGTAATGGTAATAATTTTTAAATGTCTGAGGCACCATTATCGTCTAGATTTTCCTGGAGGAATATTTCCTGAAGTGGAGCTTCATCTGGGTATTTTCACTACGTAAATTTGAGGTAGTCTGGACAGTTTCATCATTTCCTCCAGCCTCAGCTCTCACAGTAATGGTGACGCTAAGTGGGTTTTCTAATACTGTGAAGGAGTCGGGGTAGACTCCAGAGCCTCCAGCTCGTTTCACTGGTCCTCATTGCAGTCTGTCATTGCGGTCCTCGCTGCTGCCCAGGGACTACCAGGCACCCAGCAGCAAGCTGCAGATGAGACCACTGCTGTGCCGGGAAGGCTGCAGTGGCCACGGAGGCGCAGACTCCCTGGCTAGAAGGCCCAGAGCCCAATGCCTGGCCAAGCCTACTCCATGCATAGATTTTTCATAACACACATTTTTCCATGAGTTTTCTGAAGACCCCTCGTATAACCGTTATTAAAGATTATGTTGCATCAAAAAGAGCAAGTTGGATTTGCTGAGCACTTACAAAGCCAAGGCACTTTTCTAAGCACCTGACCATACTGACTCACCTAGTGTTCAGGTCCTCAGTGCAGTGGCACTGCACTAGGAACACAGCATTACAAGTGAGGAGCAGGTCCAGAGAGGCAGAGTAACTTCCTCGAGTCTGCCTCAAGCTTATCAAAGTAAATGGAGGGGCTGGGTTCAACCCAGGCAGTCTGGCTTCCAATTCATGCTCTGACTAACACGCTATCTAAACAGCACAGAATGTTACGTTAGAGGTTCTTGAGTGGGTGTAACCAGGTTACCAACCACTGGATTTTAACAAAGGGAGATGATCCTTGTGCTCGACCCAGCTGGCTTAGTTACTGCTGGCCTCAAGATGGAAAAGGGGGCTATGTGGAAGCATGTAAAGGAACTGGCAGGACTGGACTGGAGCCGAGCCCCAGACGTGACAGTCAGTCTTGGTGAACCTGGAGTTCACGCTGGGAGCCCCACAGCAATGACCCAAGCACCCAGGAGAGCTGTGCCGTGCCTGTCAGAGCAGTAAGGAGGAGGCAGCACAGACTGCGCGGAGGCATCTGTCAGGGAAGCCCACACTGGAGATGCCCGTTGTGAGACCAGTGCATCTGCAGTGGCGAAGCCCACAGACTGAGGGTGACAGTGCCACTCAAGGCCCAGCCTCCAGTATGCTCGATAGAATTCAGGGATGTGGGTGCAGCTTAGATCAGGGACCTCAGCTGGAGAGATTCCCTCCGCAAACACATGGGCTTCACAATCAGAAGAGTGACACAGAGAGACAGCTGTGGAGTACACGCTGATGCCTTAGCCTTGGCCCGTCCCAACTGCCCGGTCCCCACCCTGAGAATTGTTGGGGAAGGCATTCCTCACGGAAATTCCTCACTCTAGGGGGGCCTAAGGGGAAGGAGGAGAGCTGCTGACAGTGTCCTGGACTTGGGGCCCTGCGTGGGCTCAAGACCTCCCAGTAATGGGAGGAAACCGGGTGCTACCTGGGTCTCTCGCGGAGAGGTCTCCACAGAGCAGCAGACTACATGTCTCACAGGACTGGACAGGACAAGACAGGATGTGCCGGAGGGGGAGGACGCCACCACTCACCTTACACCTGGATTTCCCTCGTGCAGCTGGCATCCTTTCCTCCCCTCCAGGGGCCACACTCTGGGAGGGACGCAGCTGGGAAGGCAGGGCTGGAGGACACAAGAGGTGGTGAGGTCACTGGGAAGGGGATCTGGTGCATCCAGGCCCCTCGCCTGGCCACACACACACACACACACATGCATGTGCGTGCACATACACATACACATGTGCACGCACGCAGAGATTGAAGTCAGAACATCTGGAGCAGTCCTGCCCTCCAAGGTCGGGGAAGGATGTGGCCAACACCGTCTACTCTCGAGACCACAGCAGAGTCCTGATGAGGAGGTAAACGAGAAGCCACACGTGGGCTGCTGTGGTCTGCGTGAGACGACCTGAGTGCCCGGTAGGAGCCAGGCACTGTGCAGGTGTAGGAAGAGTCACGAGTCAGAGTGGAGCAGAACCAGCTCCCAGTTCGCTCCAGTGGGGAGACACATCTACAGCACACGCTGAAAGGCCAGGCAGGTGCCCGGGAAGGCCCACGGCGGTGGCAGCAACAAGCTGCAGTCCCAATGCAGTGAGTGTGTCACAGGGTGAGGGAAGGCCCGTAGGGACATGGGCTTGGTGTGGCGGGAAGCCAGGTGGGCACACTGAGGCAAAGTGAGCGAGCCGGAGTGGGAGGGTCAGAACATGCAGGGCTGCCAAGCAGCTGGGTTCAACTCGAATGTTGACATGCAACACTGCGGAGAGGGGAAGGAGCCACGCACGGGAGCGACCATCGCGTTTAACAATCAACAAAAACGTGGAGTGCATGAGATGATAAACCACATGTGTGTCACGGTGATAGCAAGAGCTAGGGAAGGGACTTAGTTCTGCAGACAGCTGGGGCGAAGGCTGCGGCCATGGAGCAGTGCGAGGAGGGGAGATGCAGTCAGATGTCACCTCAGAGAGGGTCTCTCTCCGCCCATCTCGAAGGCTGCCCGTGCACCGAGGGTGTACACCAGTCAAATGGATGCTGTTTAGCTGACCCACGGAGAAGGTTCTGGGTTGAGGTCCAGACACCTCCCTGAATACTGGGCACTTACATGACCATGATCTGGGGCTGGGGGTGGCCATGGTTTCAAGGCCCTATAGAGGGTGCTGTCTGTCTCTCCCACTCACAGAATAAACGGATTCAAAAATTAAATAAAAGGGTGTCTGCCCTAACTCGGTCCACACCTGTGCTGTCCAGTTGTGGAAGCCCCTAGCCACATATGACAACTGAGCTTGGATGAAAACTTGTGCACCTGAGGAGCTGACTTGAATTTACTTTCATTTTAATCAATTTGCTATTTTTTAAGTTGGTGTCACTATTTATTTTTTTCATTAATTTATTGTTAATCTTCAATTTGACCAGAGAGAGAGAAAGGGAGATTGAGAAAGCAAACCAGGTCCAGATAGGAACCCAGCCAGCCACGTGGGAATTCAGCGCCTTAACCACCACGCCACCTGCTGGCCCCCATTTTAATTAATTTACTATTAAAACAGTAATAAAAACATTTTAATGAATGCTAAAATTGAAAGACCTTTTAATTCAGTGTGTAGCAAGCGCCGAGAGACCAGAGAAGATCGGGACCTAAGAAGGCTGAGGCTGAGTCCCGCAGAGCTGGAGGCGGGCAGAGCGGCAGGGCCTCGGCAGGGCCTCTGTGGGGCAGGCAGCCACGGGAGAAAGACACAAGCCCTTAGCCCGAGTTCAGCCTCCGGACTCACCACCACACCCCACCTCTGCAAGACGCCAAAGAACTGCGACAAGCAGCAGCCGCTACCGGCACTTCACGGGGGCCCAGCTCGGTGGCGAACTCCAGCCACGGCCCCCATTCGTCTTCCCAGGGAGGCTACCATTCCTACTTCAGCGGGAGAAAGCGGGGGGCATGTTTCGGTTTCCCAGAGAAGCCCGCCACAGCCGTGGCGCAGCTAAGTTCCCAGTCAGTGACATCCAGCAGGAGGCTCCGCGACACTGCTACCCACTCGCTGCAAGGGGGCCCAGCTCGGTGGCGAACTCCAGCCACGGCCCCCATTCGTCTTCCCAGGGAGGCTACCATTCCTACTTCAGCGGGAGAAAGCGGGGGGCATGTTTCGGTTTCCCAGAGAAGCCCGCCACAGCCGTGGCGCAGCTAAGTTCCCAGTCAGTGACATCCAGCAGGAGGCTCCGCGACACTGCTACCCACTCGCTGCAAAGCAGGACACGAGGTGGCAGGAAGACACGGTCAGATCAGTCGCCCAGGTCATGACTAGGGCCCCCTCCGAACCCCGGAACCCGCACCGCCGCAGTGACGTGCACACGGGGTCCCGCCGCTCGGGCCGACCGTCGTCGCGCCTCACACCGAGTCCACGGCACAGCCCGC